TGTGACCGGACACCCACACACAGGGACAGGGACACCTGGAGGTTCTGGGACTGCAAGTGGCTGTGACCTCCGGGTCCAGACAGGGACCCTGGCAGCCCCTGCTCCCCCGAGGCTCTCCCAGCACTGCCCCAGGTCTCCTTTTTAGGAACCCAACGCCCTTGGGGTGCCCACCCCACGCTGCTCTGCCCACGTGTAGGACTGGGGAAACTGAGGCAGGGCGGGGGGCTGTGGTCAGAGCCGGGTCCCCAGTGTTTGTCCCCTGGAACGGCACAGCACGGTCAAGTGTCCCAGCCCATGGTCCCCAAATATTGCACCCTGGCACAGCACAGCACCCTTGGGTGCCCTGTGGCACAGCTCAGAGTCCCCAAGTGCCCACGCTCTGGCACAGCTCAGCACCCTGAGTACTCCCCCTCAGCCAGGGCAGCACCCCAGGGTGCCCCAGCACAGCACCATCCACACCCCCATCCTGTTGTACTGTCACCTTGTCACCCACCGGGCAAGGCTGCAGCCACCTCTCCTGCCCATGCAGGGACTGCTGAGTACAGACCACTCGTGTCACAGGTGAGGCCGGGAGCTGGCACCCCTGCCCTGGCACTATGGCACTGCCTGCACTGCCAGGGCTGGCTCCCAAACCACCAGTTAGAAAACACCTGGGACTAACGGGAAGCCCCTGGAAAGGCGCACACGACATCCCAGTGCAGCTGGAGCAGCCACGGGCACAGCTGGGCAAGGGCAGGGGCCTGTGCCCACATAGAGAGGGGCACACAGTCCTGGTGCTCCTACTTTGGGGATGCTGTGGGCACCTGGGCAGGGTGGTGCCAGGCAGGGCACAACTGGAGCATGGCAGTGACCTCCCTCTGAAGGACTCGTGGTGGCCCTGAGCCACCAGCAGTGCCCAAGGCCCTGGTACAGGGTGCCCATGGTGGGGATGCCACTGTGGCAATGCCTATGGGAGCAGGGCCACAGCGGTGATGCCAAGGCAGTGATGCCCATAGCAGCAAAGCCCACAGCAGCAGTGCCAGAGCTGCAGTGCCAAGGTAGTGATGCCCACGGTGGCACTGCATGTGGAAACAATCCCCCAGTGATGGTGTCTGTGGCAGTGATGCCCACAGTGGTGATGCCCATGGTGGCAATGCCCATGGCAGTGATGCCACTACAGCAATGCCTTGGCAGGGATGCCATGGTGGGGACACCCACAACAGCAGTGCCTGCAATGGCCGTGCCAGTGGTGGCAATACCACAGCAGTGATGCCCAGGGAAGTTATACCCACACTGGCACTGCCCTCAGCAGTGATGCCACAGTGGCAATGCCCACAACAGTGATGCTGGCAGCGATGCCCACAGCAGCAATACCCATGGCAGCAATGCCACGGTAGTGGCAGTGATGCCACGGTGAGGATGCCACAGTGGGGCTGCCCACGTCAGCAATGTCATGGCAGCGACAGCCACGATGGTGATGCCTGCACTGGCCATGCCCACGGTGATGCCCACGGTGATGCCACGGCGAGGGTGCCCAGGGCGAGGGCAGGAGTGTCCCCCCAGCAGCATCCCCGCTCTCACCTGTGCCTGATAGATACTCCCAGGATCCCTTGGTCCTAATCCCACGAAGGTACGGTTCGCAGGGGGCGTGCCTGGTGCAGAGTAGGCTGGGGAACAAACGAGAGCTCATTAACGGGGCTGTGGGTGGCACTGCCATCGTCCCCCCCGGGGCCAGGCCCGGCCCTCTCCCTGGCGCTGCTGGGACGGGAGTCCTGGGCACCGCCCCGGCTGTGGCCTGACGGCAGGTGAGCGGAGCCCAGGGTGCTGTGCCCCAGGGTGCTGTGCCCCAGGGTGCTGTGCCCCAGGGGTGCTGTGCCCGGTCGGTGCCGCCCGCGGTTTCGGGGTGATGGCAGGTTGGGGGGCGCGGTGCCGCGGGGCACAGGCACAGACGGGTGCTCCCTGCCGTGCCCACGCTGTGGCTTCCTGAGCTGAGCTGCCACGGGGCCAGCGTGACGGGAGCCACCAGCTCCACTCCGATGTGTCACTCCATTGCCACCTCCACCTCCCAGCTGAGGGTCCAGCAGTGGGACCCCCAGCCCCGCTGAGCTCCTGGGCTCAGCCCCTTCGGAGACACGGTGCTGCCAGAGGGGAAGGGGGACTTGGAGCCAACTGCACCCCTTGGGGACAGCCAGTGTCCTCCAAACACATCCTGTCAAGAGCCTGGGGGAACCGGCACTGCTCCGTCCCTCCCCCTGGCTGTGAGCCCATCACTGGCCAGGACATCCCATGTCATGTCCCATGTCCCCTCCAGATCCGCCATGCCTTGTGTCCTCCACGCCACAGCACTGCCACACCAGACGGCCAGCTGGTGGCACCCTGTTGTGGCCTGTTCCCTGGGGACAGTGGCATATTGCAGGACTCGACCCTGTGGGGACATGGCAGCCACTCAGGGTACCAGTTTCCCATTGGCACTGCAGGACAGGAACAAGAACAACCCCCCCACAGAGTGCAGCGACGGCACAGCGTCCCACCACCGGCGCGCTGGTCCCTGGGCCCAGCACCCCAAAATCCTCCTGGCCAAGGCACCGATGGTCCCTGAGGAGGAGTGGAGGGCAAGAGTTCGTCAGCCACTACACTAACGAAGACCCCCAGGTGCCACCAGCCAAGCGCTCCAGGGGTCACACACGCAGTCCCTGCACCGGCGCCACTTCACATCCCCAACCAGACCAGGGTCCCCAGCACCAGGGACCCCCGTGGCAGCGAGAGGACGACAGCCCAGACGGCGCACCAGGCACACTGTTCCTAGTCCCAGTGCCACCCGCGGGCCAGCTGGTCCTGGGCAGCACTGCCACCACTGCAGTGGGGTGACAGCCACGGAGAGGGCACAGCCTCCCAAAGCACTGCCTGCACCAGGGTGTGGGGAAAAACACTGGTCTGGAGAGCCCTGCAGGGGCTCCACTGTGCTCAGAGGGAGGGGGGGCTCGGGCTGGTCCCTGGGACCAGCCCGGGACCCCCCCCTTGTTGGGCAGCCACCACAAAACCCTGCCCACTCCGACCTGCCTGAGACCCAGCAAACTCATGGCGTGCCAGCTGCCGCCCTCTCCCCGGCTGCGGGGAGGCCACCTCCGCCAACATCCCCCCAGCGCCGGGACAGGGGGGACACCCTGGGGGGGCTGCGAGAGGAGGGGGCCGGCCGGGCCGGGGAGCGGGGTGGGCGCCGCGGGTGCTTACTGGGTGATGTCGGCGAGGTCGTCCCTCCCTCGGAAGTTGTCGTGGTGGATTTGGTGTCAGGAGAGACGGCCAAGCGGGGCATGCCGGGGGGAGGTGGCGGCGCCAGCATCTGCGTGGGCAGGTAGTGGCTGGGCACTTTCACTTGACCACTTCCATTTAACTGGGGACAACACAGACAAAAAACAAACAGCACAAGCCATTAGGACGCAGGCGCACAGCAGCACGGCCGGGGAGCCCCGGGGAGCCCCCCGGCACGGGCACGGGGCATCCCTCACTGCACACATGAGTTTGGTGGGTCTCAGAGCAGCCCTGAACGGTCGGCGCCGGCGGCAGGTGGGAAATCACAGCAGGGTAGGAGGGTCCGGGGGGCCTGTGGGGGCCATGCTCCAGGGGGACCGTGCCCCATGGTGGCACACATTGGAGTTGGGGCACTGGATCCTCCTCTCTGCAGCAGCGGGGAGGCCTTTGAAGTGCTGCCAGGGGCACGCAGGGGCCTTCAAAGGCTCCTGTGGCAGTGCCCTGTGCCCGACTTGACAGTGGCTGCTCCCGGTCCGGTGTCCATCAGCCCAGCACTGGGCCACTGCACGGGGGAACAGCAGCCATGCCCCTCATCCTGGCATCAGACCTCACCGGTGAGGGGCGACAGATGGGTGGTGGGCAGAGGTCAGAGGGGCTTCCCCAGAGCTGTGCATCCAGGGGGACAGAGTGGGGCACAGCAGGGCCATGGAAGTAGGAATGCAGACACCCCTGGCCCCCAGCTTTGTGCACCCTTCATGGGGTGTGTGGGGTACTGGGTGTGTGGGGTGATGGCTTGGGGTGCTGCATGCACTGGGTGCTGCATGTGCAAGGTGCTGGTTGCGTGGGGTGTGGGGTGCTGGGTGTGTGGGGTGCAGTGGGTGCTGTGTGTGGGGAGTGCTGTGTGTGTGGGGTGTGGGGTGCTGTGTCTGTTGGACATCGGGTGTGTGGGGTGCTGGGGCAAAGGAAGGCCCACAGCAGCACAGTGTGGCCCTGCCACCCCCGTGGGGACACTGGGGACACGGCGCAGTGAGGAGCTGACGGGTCACCCCTGGGCTGTGCAGGCAGTCGGGGACACCGAGCCCGTTGCTCTCCCGGGCACGCTGGTGGCTCTGGGCGATGTCACACACCCCTGCCAGTCCCCCTGCTCCCACCATACACCCCAACCCCGGCTGACGGCTCAGCCCCAGCACGCCAGCACCTCTGGTGCCCCATGCTGAGCCGGGGGATGGCACTTCCATCCCCGGAGGAACGCGGTGCCAACACGGAGCAGGCGCAGCGACAACGCTCCCGAACCAACGCACGGCGAGGCCGGAGCTCAGCCCCAGCGAACACCCCACGGTGCCATCCGAGCACCCCGAC